AACTAAACCATTTGCACTCTCCATATTATTCTATGGTATTTCTTTCCTCAAAAGTGCCAGAAAAAATGCCCATCACATTTTCCTGTTGCCATCAAACTGCTTGTTTTGCGCAGTCAACAATCCCAAACCTTATTATTGATAAGACAAAGAAAATCTTCAAAAGTGAGAATCTGGAGTTAGGGAATATTAAGAAAATGGCTTCAATCATCAGAAACTTGGCTTTTTATATACTGTAGAAATAAATGTAACTTTCCTTTATGCTACAGAAAAGGGACTGGTGAAGCCCTTTCCCTCTCAGTTCTGGATTATGGGGATGTTATATATCAACATGCTACTGTTTCCACTTTGAAGCCCTTAGTTTCCATCTATCATACTGTTCTTAGATTTATTACTGGAGATAAATTTCATCACTGAATTCTTTATAATAAAGTTGGTTGGTCTTCCTTGTCTGACAGACATAAGAAACATTGGTACATACACTATTTATTTAAAATCAGTGGAAAACTGCCCTCTGATATTTCATCCATTTTGCATTGGCATTATGAGCCTTACTCAACTCACTCATGATTACTTGACACTTCAGGTACCTAAGACCAGAACTGAGCCAGAAGAGACTGCATTATGAAATAGTCTGCAACATCAGTTCAAAATAAAAAACACACCTTCCTGTAATTAAGATAGTTCTCAGCAATCATTTTTGAGCATGTGTGCTTAAGTCAACCTACCCTGTATATATACACGTACATAAATAATCAAAAATATGGGTGACAAATGAAAGGAAAAGCCAAAGTGTCTTTGTAAGGTGTAGCCTCAGTGACATCACAATGCTCGTGTCGCCCAAGCAGCAACCCCCGAGGCTCAGAAATAAATTGCCTGTAGGCGTGTGTGGGTGTGTGGTTGTTTGTCTACATGTCAGCCCTGTGATAGACAGGCTGTACCCCGCCTCTCACCCGAAGTCAGCCGAGAACGGCTCCAGTCCCTCACAACCCTATTCAGGGATAAGTGGTATAAATAATGGATGGATGGATATAATCAAATAGAAATCAGGAAATCCATTTGAGAGAAAGCAGGGATTTTAGAATTTCTGAAACTGGTTTGGTGCCACTAGCACAAAAAAGTGCAAGATCTGCCATATAGATTATTTGTACCACCTGCATGAGTTGCACCCAGGTGTGAATCCCAAGCTACAGCATGCTCCTCCACATCTTCACCTCCCATCCTCTTATCTTCTCCCTGTCTGCTGTGAAATCTAAGTGACAGAACACAGGGCCAAAGAAGGCATCCCATTAATATGTTAATCCATGCGGGGAGGACTTCAACACACAAAGCACAGAAATACATGTGTCAACTGTGAGGCGTGCAGCTCAGGGAGGAGAAGGGGGATGATGTGAGTGTAATGTGGCTCCCCACACTGCACTGTGGTTGCTCGCATGCATAAAAAGCAGAGTGGTGTATTTGTGGAGAGGGAATCCCCACAAAAAAACATTGCACTGCCTCAAAATCTTTTCAACAGAAAGAATAAGATCTAAAGTATTTGAGTGGTCTGAAGCAGGTGGATCATGCAGCATGTGTGACTGGTATGTTGTTGCTATGTGCAGCCTTGGTCGCTCGGTGCTGGCATCAATAATCCATGCAACCTGCTCTCACGGAGACACAGCAGAGCACTGAAAGCTTATATAAGAGAGTGTCACGTCAGAGTTGGGATTGACCCTGAAGGACCTGAGTGACTGGCAAGAGGAGAGAAAACCACAAGAACATGCAAATAAGTGTGTTTCCATAGGAGAAACAGAGAGACCTTCACCCTCCTGCAGCACCTGTACATCCATGTACTTCTAGAGTGAATCTACTGCATGCTTTGACATCTTTCATCCACAAGCATGTTTTGTTTTTGATAAGAACGACAGTAGTTTGAAACGGCTTTTAAAAATGTCGCTGGCATCTCTTCAGCCTCACTGACCCGAGAAATGAGCGAGTACCATCTGCTCTCTCTCCTCTGCCTCAGTAAACGTAGTCCCCCTGCCTTGAGGAGAAGGATGGAGATAGACAGCCAGCCAGCGAGCGTTTCATCCCATTCCCCTTATCTCCCTGGCCAAAATCCCCTGCCTCCAGAAAGCAATTTAAAGGCCAGACACAGACAGCAGAGAGAGAGAGGGAGAGGGATGTAGGAATGCAGCCTGATAACTCCACAGAGATCAGGTTTGCTTGAATACAAGCGAACAGGATGCATTAGTCTTGAAATGCATCAAAACATAAAGGAATTAAATAGAAATAAATTTTATGTCTTAAACTTTATTCTGTTTGTTCCTATCTTATCAAAATCTGCTCAAAGTTCAGAACAACTAGTAATTTCCCAGAAAGAATGTGTCAGAAACCTGCAGTGACAAAAGATAAAGTGCAAACAAGTAACTCGTGGGAGGAATGACATTGTTTTGTGGCTGTGTGAAGATTTTTTGCTTTGTAATTTAAATCAAATTAAATCTAGTTGTTTTTTTTATCTCTTGCCTTAATGTTTTTTTTTTTAATCTTTTGTGTAAAGCACTTTCTGTTGCCTGGTTGTGAAAGGATAACACACAGCTCCTTGTTTGTGTAAAACTTGAATGGGGGGGACAACTAGTGCCAGAGATAATAAGCAGTTCTTTGTGTTTATTAAGTGATTACTGTTGAAGACTGGATGGTAATTACTGCCTTTCGCATTAAATATCTTAAAAATATATTAATTCTTAACTAATCAAAGTAAGACGTACAGAAACAAGGACTTACTGTAATTTCACATCAGTGTGATACAAAAGCAAGGTTTTTAAATTAAGCTAATTTAAAACCACTTATTTGTAGTTGGACATAGAGCCAGTCAGACGAGGTATACTTGATTTAAAATATAATGTATAATGCCTCTGATGCGGTTAAACATGTCTGGTATTGCAGTTTGAGTTTGTAACTGATTCATATGTGGAAACCTCAGTCAGGCTGAACTCTTGTTTCTCTGTACAGGAAGTAATTAATCTTAACCTGGATGGCAGGGGTTAATTAAATATTGAGGCAGCTCAAATGGCTGCTCTGTCGCTTTGCTTTATCGGCCGCTTCCTAAGATGACAGTCCCATCTCTTTTCTCCACTCTGCATTTGAAGACACACACTTCTTCCTTTATCTGAAACAGTGGCTCTGTCAGGTATGCCCACGGCTGTAGTACATTGTGTACCATGGGTACAGCTTCCCTCAAGTTTTCTGGAACGTGGGAAGGAATGAATGCTGGTGAATGGCTTTAATGCTAGCAGGGCTGATGATGCTGATGAAGAGCAGGTGAGTGTGGATGGAGCAAGGAAGGAGAACAAAGGGCCTGCAGGCACGAGGGGCTGGGATAACATGGGGACAACATCCTGAAAACCAGGAAGTAAAACAGACCCATGAATGGACTGAATGTATGAATCATTGCACACATATTTGTTTAATCCTTCCAGAAAGTGAAGTGTAAAAAAAGTCAATGTTTGTCATCCTCACTGGTTGCCCAGCAACTGTTTGGTGCATATCCCTACATGAAACACTGAATTGGTGTTTTTGCACTTCTGCTTTTGTGCTGATTAAAGAACGATAACATCTTCACCGGTCTTATCTTATGACCACTGGATACAGCCATGGTAAATCTTTCACCTAAGAAAAAGCAGCAACAAAATGCTGCTAAATTATTCTATTACAATTAAAAGCATCAGGAAAATGTAGTGAAAGTATTAAAAGTACTACCCTATATTAAATCATTAGATTAGTTTTACTTGGACAATAATATTTTTGTACTTGATTGAGGTGAGGCTCATTTAATAATTTCAGACAGGACTCCACTAATTTTCTCCCTTTATAGAAGATTCTTTTGATTATGTTTTTAAATTCAGAAATGATGATTTGATTTGTAAAAGTGGTGCTTAGTTTGATTAGCTGCAACAATGAAATGCTTGGCATTTGGTATATTTGGTAAAATGACAAAATGTAAAGCTAGTTCATCAATAACTTTCTTTTACTCAACTTTCAAAAGGCAAAAGCCTTAACTACAGTCAAATTAAATGTGGAGTGAAAAGGACAGTAGTTCCTTCTGAATCATAGTGCAGTAGGAGTATAAATTGGCATGAAAATACTCAAGTACAGTAGAAATACCTCAAAATTGTACTTATATTCCACTTTTGCCATCTAATATATACAGTACCAGGTGGTTTCTGCTCACGTCAGTACAGTTCAGGTTGGTGCCAGATGTGGCTGTGAGTCAGATTAAAGCTGTGTGAGGATTAAAACTGTCTTGACGCTGCTTCTGCAGTCAACAACCCGCAGCAGGCAGGCAGACCTGTGTCTCTTGAGTATTACTAGTTGCATGGGAAATGAATTCTGTTCAGTTTCCTCACAGACCTGAAGCTATGAATCTGCCCGGCTCTACTCGAATGACACCTGTGATGCAACTGCTCTGTAAAACAGAGTTCAGAAATTTGTGTGTCAGTAATAAGGCACCAGTGAACAGCCAGTACTTACCAGTGGCTCAGAGTCATGCAGGTATAAAGAGATTATCAATCTGATGCTGAGTGAATGACAGGGGCTTTCCATGTTTGAGAACAAAATAAACCTACATACAAATGGAAATCAAGAGTACATCTCTTCAGAATAAATTATTTAAATAACTATAATTTGCTTCAACACAGAAGAAACAAAAAGAGCACCACCTACTGGCCACACCTGCTTACTGCTGCAACAACTGTTTCCTCAAAGCATTTACCAGAAAGCAACTATAGATTTACTGCACCGTACGTAGGTGCTTAACACGTACACCTACATTTCACAATGCAGTAGTCTTTAAAAGACAGAAAAGAGCATGAGATGCAAGAGAGCTAGAAATATTGCCAACTGATTCACATCTCCAATAAAATACCAGAAAAAATAACAGTATCACAGCCAGAACACTCACTGCAGACAGTCTGAAGTCCAAACCCATGTTTGGCATTTATCCACAAATATCAGAAACACAAAGATAGTGGAAAAACTGAATCATTTATTTTGAACTGAATCAATGAATACAAAAACATTTGGGGTCGACTTGACAGTGGGAAAGCACAAAGTGTTTACAAAAGCATTATCTACAAAAGGGAATATGATAGTTGAAATTTGCTCTGCCAAAATGGGTAAAAATAGAAAAAAAGAGACAAATGGGGAGGAACCCAGTGGTGAATTTTACACCTGTCTGGACCACAGCCAGTCGCTCCGTCTTCAGAGCTTTATGACCTCACACAGATGGTTTTCACATAGCTGTGTATAAAGCTAACACTACACCTCCTGCTGTGAACACCTTATTGGAGAAACCACCATGAGGTCACCTCAGCCCTTCAATCACTCAAGAAAAGTCCCAGTTGCCTGCTTTTCTCTATTCCCCCAACCCCACCCCCCTTTTTAGGTTGCTCTAAACAACTTAGGAAGACTCTTCATCGATCTTCGGCGCCAGGTAATACTTTATGTGTCCCATGTCTGCAATCTTGTATTCCACCACTGTATACAGACAAAAAAGTCAAGTTAGGACCACAGTGACTTCTATAACCATGGTGAGAGGTCACTTAAAAGATAAGACCAATCAGTTTATATATTTATAGTATTTTCAGCTATCTCCATACAGAGACTAAAACCGACAAAGAATTGCCTCTACTCATGGCTAATGTCTGTCAGTCCTGGATTAGCTTGTTCGTCTGGGTCACAGACCTCTGTTGTTGTTCAAAAAGGATTAAATGCACATCAGTGAAACACACCATTGTACTGGACGGCATATTTCTTCATTAACGAACAGAAGACCCAATTACAAGTAGCTAGCTGAATGTAAACAACGCGGCGAGCTCACGCAAGATCCTTTGCCAGTTGACTGATTTGTACTAGCGTCAGGAAATTATGGCTTGCACTCTACTCATGGCTAATGTCTGTCAGTCCATTATGAAAACCGTGTCACCCAGTGCAGTTGTGTGTTTTTAATTGTTTGTGAATGGCAACAAAGATCTATCGCACAGGCGAACAACCTCATACAGAACTGACAGCAGACAGAGTAGAGGCAATTAACTGAAAATACAATTAATATGGAAAATGACCGACCTCATTAAGGTGAGCACTTACCAAGAGGGATATCAGCTGACATACTGAGGGTGACCGTCTTTGACAGTGGCGTGGCCTTAGTGAAGAAATTCAAGTAGTTGAGGGCAAAGATGAGTTGAACAGGCTCATTCATCTCAATAGTCACCTAAAGTATAAAAAAAAGATAGGAAACACTTACAAAGGGCTGCAACTAACAATCAGCTTCTTTATAGATTCAACTAATTCCCACCTACCTACCAATAAAGTACCTACCTAATAATCTTGTTTTGTCCAACAGCATTTGAACTTCAAACATTTTCCACCAACACATAAGACAAAAATCTTCACAACTGATAAGCTGGAACCTGGCAATAACTTTGACTTCATAAAAATGGGACTAGTCTTTTCTGCATTATCAACAGCTATAGCTGATTAAGTCACTGATATCAGTTTTAAAAATTCTAATACATTTGCTAATATTCTTTTTCTATGTACAAACCCATAAAAACAAACACTGTCATAAGGATTTAGTAGCCAAATACTGCTGACATGTCTCGATGAGGACTGAATGTTTGCAGAAAAACATGTCAGCTCTCTCTCTACCACAGTTTCCTGTTGTCTGATTAGTGTAATTACGACAAACTAATATTAGTGGATAATACTGTCTTGATAATTTCTCCTGTGAATTCAGTCAATGTTATCTTCACATTATTTTGATTTGACCTCAGTATTGGTACTCACAGCCTCGTCCTCTTTGTCTACGTTGCTGGTCTGGGACAGCTTGACGTTTCCTGTGCCCAGTTCGCCTGAGGCAGAGAACTTGACTCCATCCTTGGCGCAAGAGATCATGACGGCGTCGCCAATCTGGGAGAGGTCACGGCAGATACGGGCAAACTCCCCAGATGGCATCTTCACCACACAGCTGTACTCCTGCTCCTTGAGGGACAGAGTCGGGGACAGGTCAGGAACAGTGTGCGTGAAAAGCAGGTTGCACCGAAAAGGACCGAGAACAGATTACTTACTGGAATACCCAGCTGCTCCACATCTAGGTCCATCAGTTTCATTTCATAATCTGACACTTTCTCCTGATCTGTGAGTGAAAAGAGATGTGGCAAATAAGACAATAATGTTGAAGAAACTGGTAAACTGTATCTGTCAAGTTGAATTCACACTGCTTTAAATCAAAGTCACAAAACGTACTGATGGTCTCAAACACAAGGGCAAGTGTGTCTGCACTGTCTTCTGCCCTGAGGGTGATGATGTCCTCGTTTCCTGCACACTTCAGGATTTTAGACATACTGGATGGGATGGACAAAAGGCAAAGCAACATGACATTACAAAACACATTGCACAGAAAATGAGAAAATGAATGGCAGTAGATTTCATATGCTCAAAAAAACTAAAATGTTACAAAGTAAGAGTTATTTAAAACTAAATACCATAAAATTATTTGGCAACAATCATTCAATCAACATTTTGAACATGTTCAATAAAGACATGAAAGATCAGGAATTTTTTGTGTTATTATTTTAAGCACATTATATTTGTGAATACTATTAACTTGGATGAAGATCAGATCACATTTTATGACAAATTAATGCAGAAAACCATGAAATTCCAAAAGGTTCACATACTTTTTCTTGCCACTGTATGTGTAATAAAACATGTACAACATTTAACATTTAATAACCACAAAAAAAGGGAAACTAACCAGGGTTGTAGCATGTCTTAAAATGTCTTTTGTCCAAGTATCAAATTTATTTTTTTTTAGCTGAGCTGCAATGATGTGTAATCAACAAGTCAACATTAACTGGCAACCACTTTGATGCTTCTATCATCATTTGGGAATTTTGAAGGCCAAGATCTGATGCACATGTTTACAATACTTGACAGTAAACTGGCTTTCTCTCAACTTGAATGTTGGTTACAAACATCGATTAATCGGGAAAGTAATCCATTGATTAATCCGTAATAGAAAATAATCGTTGGCTCCACCCCTTCTCCTCGGAGAGGCCGGAATCAAAACATTTAATATCGTGTCATTATTGCTCCTTGAAAATGACTGACATTGGGTGATTACCTTAGATACACATCAAAACATTACAACTTTTAATTCAGTGAACCGGTAATTGTTTTACAGACGGAAGCGGAAGTTCCCGGGTTAAACGACAAATCCCCGCCAACCCTTCCTGCGGAAAATTTGGCGCGCAAATGACGTCATCACAATATATCTGATGTCTCAAACTCAGAATCTCGATCTCAAAACTAACTTTAATACATACAGAGCTGTATGTTCAGGCAATCTATTTATCTGTAAATAGTAGGTGTTCAAACCGGTCTACTTGAGAACTAGCAATAAAACATTGACTGGCCGGTGGAACCCTCGGTGCACTGAGGAGACATGCCCGGGCAATTCAGCCAAAGATGGCCGCCGTCTTTGTAAACTTCACGTCTGACAGACCATTTACTTATGCTACCAAAAGATATCGCAATCACAATTTCACTTTGTATAACGTTATGAGGCAGCAGACCAGACAAACCAAACCCCGTATAAATGTACATAGATTGTTATAAGCACCAAAAGTAGCTAACTTTATCGTTACATTACTCAGCAAATGCTTCATTTCTCTGGGAGCAAACTACCTTAAAACGCACCCTGTTGGACTGGTGTTAAATAACGAGAAATTGGTGTTTTCTGGCTAAAAGAGTTGTGTGCAATGTTTCCTCCACCTGCTGAGGTTGACTCCCATGGCGAGGTTCCTGTCGCAGCGGTACGAGTCGAAGCCGTCATGCCGGAGGGTGAGCTGGACCAGGGAGACGTGAGAGGAGTCCATGCTCTGCAGAGAGATGCCGGAGGAGCTGACGTCCCAGCAGGCTTCTGTGATCAGATCCTTCAGAGCCTCCAGCACTTTCTTCAGGATGGAGCCCTGAACCAGTCGAGCCTCAAACATGGTTGCTGTGGAGTTTTCACGTCTGCGTAGATTGCAAAAGAAGGTGTTTTTGTCGCCGTTAGCGGTACTCCGTCAAAGTGGAGACTGCAGGTTGGAGTTATCACCAAGTAGAAGAGAGGGACTCCGGTAAAAAGCACCGTTTTGTGTGTTGTTGTCTGACACAGCTACAGCACAAACACACCGTCCACGCTAAAGAAAACGTTTGCGGCGTAAGCGCGCCCTAACATCGTTTAATAATTCTGCGTCATTTCCGTGTCCTTTTTTTTGGTTCCGCCCACCAAAGACACTGATTTCGGCCATATTTGAGAGGACAATCTCTCAACTGTGGACAAACTATTCTCACCATACATGCATCACGAAATCTGTGTAAAATAAGTTATACAGAAAAAACACAATATGCTTTAATTCGTTTTATTGATCTTGATTTGACTGACACACAGCATTATCGAAAACTCAGCCATATCCCCACTTTGTTGCACACATACAGAGGCACATAAAACAAGCATGATCAATTTTTATATAACTATTTAACCTGAGTACATGTTGATTCAGGCCACTTAACAGGGTCATTTGGCCTTTAGTGCAGACAGGACATTCTTACAGAAAAGCATCTGAAGTATTACAGGATGTAAAAAATAGCAGTTTTCTCATGTTGTGGCAAAGATTTCATCACTATTTGGACAGTTACAAATTTATGTTGCAGTTAAGTGCAGACTGGGGGTGTCTGTTTAGAGATCACCAGACAGCACGTAGTTTGTTGCCATGGCAACAATGGGGGCTCCAGTGGGGACACCGGGGAAAGGACCACTGGATCCAGCGATGTCAATGTGGGAGTATGGCAGAGGAGTGTCAGAGTCCACGCCATGCTGCAGTGCAAATTCAGGAATAAAAGTAATAATACAAATTATTTGCTGCACTTATTACTTATTGTATTTTTCTTAAGTTCAGCTAAATAATACTCCAGCAATGTGTGGGCACCTTGTCAAGCCCTGAGGCCAAGATGAGGAAAGCTGCAGGGGACTGGTGTCCTCGAGGTGTAGCTGTGGACGGCAGGTTGTTGCACTGCAGAACATCCTCATACTCAGACTTGCCCTTGTGGAACTCGTAGTCCTCTCGTCTGATATTGGACACCTCGAACATGTCGCCCAGCACATCTCCAGCTGCGTGACAGAGGATAGAGTGTTACTTAGTGATGGGGGAAGTACTGAAACGCTATCAAGCATATGTGCTAAAGATGGTTGGCGGTTTATTGGATATAGTCACAATCACAACATCTGCTGGGCAACTCATGGTACTGCATTTCTAGAAAGGTAAAATCCAAGACCACGATGAAACAGGGACAAGTCTCACTGCTACACTAGTTTGTTGAACAGTGGTTATATTCTAAAAACCAATTTATCAGATCTCTGATGCAATTATTTTGGCACTTTTAAGTAAGGAATTGAAACATGCTGCTGCAATACTTCAGTTTTTAAAGCTCAATAATGTGTCGAGTACTCCACTTCAAGCAGATCATTCAAATTTGCCTCTGTAATTTTAAATTGGATTGACCATCAAAAAACAAAAGCAAGAAGTAGTAAGTGGACCTTAAATTAAGAATGTTTTGTCAAGCTGCTGCTCCCAAGATCAAAAATTAACTTTCATGGTCATAAAGTGTTCTCACCTTTCTGCCACTGAGCAGCATTCCCCCTGCGATGAGCCAGCCCATTATCCATGATTATCTACAAGAAATTTCAAACTGAACTCAGTTAAAAAGACGATTATTTTTATGCTCATGTTACAGGTACTACGGTTAAGATCATCTGCAGTATTGTCTGTGTTTCGACAGCGCTCACAGAGTAGTTGGGTCCCATGGCCCTGATGGCGTGACCAGTCAGAGTCGCGATAGTAAACAGATGAGGAGAAGTCTCGCGTACGGCCTGCGGACACAGAAAACATGATCAAGATGTTGTATTAAGAGACATGACTGCAATAATCACATCACCATTATTTCATCTAGTCCTTTTTAACATTATCATTATCTCTCCTTAGCATTTCTCCTTTTACTGTACACATGATAATTATTTTAAAAGATAATTTATCTTCATGTACAAAGGTCTGTGTTGCTTTCCCCCCCATTTAACACCCATTATCCCACATTCCTATAGTTTATATCTCCTAGAAAAATAAATCCGTAAGTACCTCATTTATCATGGATGTTTAGCTCTTGTGGCCGCTGCACTGTATATTTTTGGTACTGCTGGAAAGATTTGTGTTTATTCATTTAAAGGCATAATAAGACAGGCAGGGCGTTCTGACCTTCTCCTTCATCTCACAGAGCAGGTCGACCATCACCATACGTCCCTCTGCATCAGTGTTTCCCACTCTCACTCTGCGACCCGCACGGGAAACCACCAGCTCATCGGCCACATAGCAGTCTGAGAAAACACACACGTGAGAGAGGGAGCTATAGCACAGATCTCAGTGAGAGAAGTAAAACCAGGAACATAAAAATAACAAAAGAAAGTGGATTAAACTGACCTGAACCAACACTGTTCCTCACCATGGCCATTGAGCCCAAAACCTTTATATGTGTTGGCTTCAGCTTGGCTAAGACCTACACAACAAGAGAGACATTAGATAAGTGGCAGAGTTGTACACTAGTCACTAAAGCTCAAGTCTCCTCAAATGAGTTGTAGTATCTAATGTTTTTTGCTCATCATGACTTAGCAACATCCAGAGACACAAGCCCAAACCAAGTGTTTCTTTATCTGCCCAGTAAAATCTCCCTGACGTCATTCACCTGGAAGAAGCCAGCGACGGCAGCAGCTCCACTCTTGTCCCTGTGCATCCCAGCCATGATTCCTCCAGCCTTGATGTCAGCTCCGCCAGTGTCGTAGGTGACGCCCTGGAAGCACCACATGGGAACCGACCCCGACTTATTAACTAGTCAGTCATAAACAGATACAATGCACACTAACTGTTTTTTTCTAACCCGTTTTTCTTCCTTAAAATGTCTGATTAGTTTAAAATAAGGGCTGCAACCAACTAATAATCTGTGTTATGTTTATGATTCATTGTTTTATCCATAGAATGTTGGAAAATAGTGAAAGACACTAAACAATTCCACACATTCTAAATCAACTTCTTCCAATGTCTCATTGTCAAAAGCCCAAAGATATTTAATTGACTGTCATGTATTACAAAGAACAATCTTCACATTTATGAAGCTGGAGCCAGTAAATGTTTGTCACTTTGCTTAAGAAATTACTAAAACTATTTTTAAAATAGCTGCTGATTAATTTTCTATCAATCAACCAGTAGCTGCAGATTTATTTAAAAGTTCTGTATTTGCATCTTTTCATCCAGGGCATTATGAGAACTGTATCAGTCCCCTCTCACCTTTCCCACCAACATGAGCGTCTTCTGGATCGGTCCCTCCCCACAGTACTGCAGTTTGATAACTCTGGCCTGGTGACGAGGCACACCTGCATGAGGAGCAAGCTATGAATCATCTTTCAGAAATCCACTTTTAACAGCTTAAAAAACAAACAAACAAACAAATATGTTCTCCTACCATTGGCACAGCGGTTGACTGCAGCCAGACAGGGATACTCTTTCTCCAGGATCTTCAGGTCGCTCACCACTTCAACCTGAAGAAATGCAGACATTTTCTTATGTTTTAAGTCAGAAAAAACACTTGACGTGTCACTAGAGAACCAGAGACTGGAACCGTTTCTATGCATTTTCCTGATTCTTAGGAGGAATAGCAGATAATTTGACTATTTTCCAAAGAATAAAAAAATTCAGGATCATGTGAAAGCCTTGACATGTGAGATAATATTTCTTACTACCTGCACAGGGCTGTTTTCAAAGAGTGCTTGGACATAATCAGCCACACGAGGAGCAGCCATACGCTCGGGGTCGGAGCCACTGATATCACGGCAGGCCACTCTGAGAAGGGGAAACGGGAGCAACTGAGCAAGTGAATGACACAGTGTGGCAAAAGTCTCTGCAGGGATGAGATGAAGCCTCACCTCCCGCTCTCCAGAGCATCAGCTAGCTCCATCAGTTTCTTGCCCTGAGCCTCCTGTGCTGCCCACAGCCCCAGAACACACACCTTGTAGCCAGTGGGTTTCATTTTTGCTTCCCTTATTTCAAGGGGCTTTGGGGAGACGAGAGAATATAAAAGTTAAAAAGACTTCTACATTATGAAATGGCCTTGTTTGTATCTAATTAAATGCAGGTTGTGTTTTGTTTTAGTTGAGCTGGACAACAGCTCACACCTGGCATTACAATACATCTGGAGAGACCAGTTGAAATCCGATTTAACTTCTGTGGAAACTGTACTTGCAGCTAAACAACAACAACAATAAAAACAATGCAAATGTTTTGCGCTGCAACTTTTTTCAAATATTTTTGTTGTAGAAATCTGCTCCAAAACTTGTCTGAATGTGGAGAGGTGCTGTCGAAGCCTCCTGTGACCCAGACTTATTGAACAGCACCGACTTCTCGAACCAATCAGAGATTTTCAAGTATTTCTGCTTGATCAGTAAGTTCTGTTGCATTTATTGTAATTTCATAACAACCAATATCTGAATAGGTGGGCAGAGCATATCGGGTCACAGTCGGGTCAAAACACCTCAGGATGTGGTGTCTCTCTGTCATGACACTCTGCTGCCTACGGGCCTTCTCTTGTTATTCCTGTGTTTCTACACTATGTGTTCACAGTACTGGCTGTTAATTAGCCCTGCGCTACAATCATGAATTGACCTCTACTCACTAAAAGACACAACAACATGGCCCTAGGTTTATGATCATTTTATTAGCTAATCTATTACTACACTACTCTACTAACATAAAGTTGGCTCCCTTTAAAAACTGTCCACTTGTTGTCAGATCATCCAGACAAGACATGTTAAATACCAAGTGTAAGCAGAGCCTTTATGTCAGACCTGGCCGAGAAGGAGCTTAGCTTTTTCTCACCATGTAGAGAGCGTGAAGGGCTCCGAGTGCAGCCACCAAGGTGCTGTTCTTATACTCCTTATGTGGAGGGCAGACAAGCAGGGGGCGCTGCATGCCAGCTTTCAAGGCCCTGAAAGGAGAGACAGATGAGCAGGATGGCAAAGAACGGCGGGAGGTAAACCAACAATGTGAGACACCAGGGAAAATCAGCTACCATCAACTGACCGTTTGATGCCGTTGACTGCTGCATCACTGAAGCGTCTGACATCATCGTAGTCACGGTTTACAGGGCCGGTGGAGGCAAACACCAGGCGGTTACCAGGGAGACCAGGGACTTTGAGGAGCACCACCTCCTCCCCCAGACCGCTGTCCACCTGGAGGTTAAGTACCACCATACAGGAAAGCAGCATTAGAAACAGTGTCACCACAGAACATGACGTATCACCTCTTCCTCTGAGATTTAGAAGCAAAACAGAGAGTATAAAAACTTCATAATCTTGTCTTCATTTTGGTTTACAGTAGTAGAAGACTGATGCTGTCTGATCCTTTAATGTAATCATCCCCATCCTTTATGGCTCATGTCCTACAAGAAAATATGTTGCCTTATTCGTGATAACACCATTACTGACAGTAGTCTGTGTTTGATAGCTAAGTGTATTTCAGTTTATTATGAAATTTGGGAGGGAAAATCAATCTTTTTTTTAGGTTTGTGAAGCTCACCGCCCACAGAAAGGCAAGAACAGACACTTACGGAGCTGTAGTCCTGCAGAGGAGCTTTCAGGCACTGGAGCTCATCGGGCAGGGTGTCATGGCTCTGGGTCACCAAGATGATGCCATCAAAGCTACAAAGACAACAATACCATCATTGACCACCACCGTTTGTTAAGATGCACAAACACCCTGGCAGCTAAAGAGCAAATGTGGCATTTGTAAGAGCAGGATCAGATTTGAGTGTGAGGGAGGATTGAATTGCAGAATTGTGAGTGTGATTTGAGCAGGCAGCAGAGATTCTCATACTGATCAAGGCTGCTCATGCCGTTTCCCGAATAACATTCAAAATTTTGTTTGTGCACTCTCAGATATTTTGGTGGTAATATACTGTACTTTCATGCAATACTCACTTCTGGTTCTTGACATCAGTGGTCCATTCAACAGGCTGCACACTGGACAAAGAAACACAAATAGAAAACACAAAGTTAACTCCTCTTGTATGTACAGTGTCAGCACCGTCTGATATGGATAATCTAACATATCTCAAACTGAATGATGCAACTAGACTTACTCTCAGGTTTCATAATGCAGGTTAAAGATAACAGAGTGGGACCTTTGTTACAGTGCAACAGAATGAGACAAGTTCACTTCTTGTCTCACTGCAGTAAAAATCAAGACTTGGTACCTTTGCACTTAACAGCAGTCACTTTAGTTTGAAGTAAGTGATGATGCAACAGTTTGATTTTTGTGAAAAGCAAATACAAAGCTCATAGCAAACAGACTTTAGAATAATACTTTCACCACATGCTAATGCACTGTTACATTAACTTAAAAAATGTTAAACAGTAATTGTGTCATGTGAAAACTCTGGACACTATTAAGTCAGTATTTGGTATTTGGCTTTAGCAGACAGCATGGCTTGCAAACGCTTTTTGTACGCACGTTTAAGATCAACCCACAGGTTGATGTTTGAGTCGGGGGGCTGTGAGGGCTGCTTCAAAGGCTTCAGCATGGTGCCGTGCCACCAGGGAGGTTTTTGACTACTTCTATAATCTATGATATGGGTTTCCCCTGAGGCTTCCACCCCTTGGACAACATGTTAGATGAGTTTGAGTTCCTCAAAGAACTCCAACACAGCAGGACTCAGCCTGGGATTTGTGAGTATCCCCACACCCGCCTGGAGCCCCTCACCCTGGGCAACTCTAGAAAAGGATAGAGTCCAATCCCTCTTCAGGAGTTTTGTTCCAGAGACAGATTTTTTTGTGTGGAGAGAAGCCCAACTATATCTAGTTGGTATCTGGTGTCACCAGAGAGGTGACATTCCACGTTTCTAGAGCTAGTCTACGCTGCCAGGGATCAACACACCCAGATATCCGACATAACATCGTACTGTTGGACTAAACCAGTCCTGGGTGTCCTTTTATGAAGAATGCTCAAAGACAAATCTGTCCTTTGAGATATTTATTACAATCAATATTTAAGTATAGTGCATAGCTGCTGCAGGAAGCCGGAACCCCGTTTCCTCTGCATAGAGAATTTATAATACAGTTAGGATGGTAGATCTGACGTCATCCGTCTGATTCCTTTCCCTGCAGGTGGTGGGTCTACAGGGCAATTCACTACTTTTTACTGCAAAAAAAATCAACAGAATATTATTTGCCCAGAGGTGCCCAAACATTTTCTGTTAGACTTTGTAACCGTTTTCTTACACTTGTCAAACACTTCTGGCATCACATGACACTTAAATACAAGTACAGCTATACTGAAAGTGAAATCAAAACAAAGATTTGGCCCCTTTCTTGGAAAACCAATCTACCTCTATTGCAACATGGAAAGGATCAGATTTTCCTACTTTAAAGATGTGAACGAAACAGCTACTGATTTGGACAACTAACCCAGATTAATTACACGATTACACCAGCTGAACTAAACGCCACGTTATACATCAGTGGGGAAAACTATTAAAGAACAACAGCAAACCCCTCTCTAGGTCTGCTCGACTGTTATTTCGCACAAAGCCACATGTTTAAAACTGCTTAACCAAAATTAAACCGGTCGGTTACATAATAACACAAGCAGTTGTTCATCTCACCAGGTATCCATTGTCGTCGTCGTCCTCCTTCTGCTGTCTGCACGATGAAAGAGCCGTCCGACCACAGATGACACCCCGGATCTCCTCCCCCCCTTCGTTGTTCACGTGAGACATTAAGTTGTACTGTGCTGCCTTCACGGGCTTCTCGTAGCTCGTAGTTACGACTATTCTAGACGTAAAACGCACCTTTCCCCTAGTTTAGTTTCGTCTTTGGTCCTAAACAACGCCACCAAATGAACACTAGTGGAAAATAAATACTCGCGTACGGAAAGTAATTACAATTCTACGGCATTACGCTTTAAAATCCAAGACTTGTATTTGTAATATGGTATTTTTACTTTGTTGTGTTGCTTTTAAGAACTACTTCCACCACTGCAAGTGAAACATTGTGTTATACTTAGTTTCAGTTAACACAAATAAAGTCTAGAATCAAAATTCTAATCAAAAATCTAATCTTCTAATCTTAAGTATCGATTTAAGTTAAAGAAGTGGCAAAGTTCCCATTGCACTTAGGGCGGGTTTGTGGAGAAACCGGGAATTGTAGTTTTTGAACCGGATTCAAAGAATTTAAAAGCAGCATTATGAATAATATCTATACGATATATTAGTTATCCATATACATGGTTTAATAAAAAAACATGAGTACTTTTTGCCGTTATTGCGGGTTGAAGCATTTATCTCGCTTTTTACATGGCTGACCTCACGGACTACAACCACAAACCGGAAGTATTTAAAACTGTTTTCTATGGAGAAAGAGAGAAGTAAGTATTAACAAGAAAATGTGCAAAGGGCAAGAAAGAAGCAGCAGTTCCCCTCGTTACACATTAGTAGGTTAGAGTGTGATACTGATTTTCCATTTGACTAAACAGATATTTCTGCAAAACTCAGTTTCACACAGTTAGAGCTACAGGTAAGATGTCACCAACGACGTGAAGCCTAGTTCATGCTTTTCTTATCGCGATTAGGAATTGTAAGTTGTGTGTCAGACTTACTGACACACAACTTAGCCTGTTTTGTAACTGGCCTGTTTTGACAGCATTTTCTCAACGAGCTAGTTTAGGTACAGTTCACATGCAGGTTTTGTTTTCAGGTTGAGTTTAAGAGTTTTCCTTCAAACAGTTTAAGTGAGAAATACCGACGGATTTCCTAAATGAACCTGGGGATTATATCAAGTTTGGTATCTAACAAACTAGGAAATAACACATAAATGTTTTGATATGTAGGTGCTGCAAGTGCAATCTGACTTTGTCTTGACATGTTAAGTACCAGGTGTGACTTATTGGCAATTAAAAAAACAAATAATAATAATAATAATAATGGGGTGAGGGCGAGATAATCACCTATGATCTGGTTTCCTTCCTCATCACCTTTTCTTCGACAGATGAGACTTCCTCTTCGAGCATTTCACACCTTCAGGAGTTTATTCTCTCAAAAACAAACAACAAATCCACAGAGGCGAGGCCTGGGGGGTGCAGCGATGCGTCTGGTGCAGTTTTGTCGCCATGGTGACAGAGGTGGGATCAGAGTGGGAGTGGAACTAGGCGAGGGGCTCGGTGTGGTGGATCTGAAGGCGTTTGACCCCACCATGCCCTCGACAGTGAGAGAACTGCTGGAGATGGGAGACCAGGGTCTGGAGCGTGCACAGAGGTGTCAAACACACCCGATTACATTCATATTTTATATGTATTTCATTTAGTTTAAGTGGTGAGATTCTCAGTCTCATTGTCAAGACAGATGTGGACAAGATAGGAGCATCAATGAAGTAATTCAGAACACAGTCACAATAAAATAGTAGTGATTCAATAAATAAGAAAGACACAGGTATAGTGAAAAACATGTACACTTTTCAGTCAGTTCTAGTTTTCTAGTGGCTTTAAATTCACCCACCATTATTTGTTTCTTGTAGCTCATTCCAGGCAGCATTAGTAGCACAGCTCAAAGCATTCATTCCAAATTCACTCCCAGTTTTTGGGACAGAGTATAAGAAAGAATTCTGGGATCTAAAATCATATTTCAAGACACAAACAGGAAAGAATTCTGGGATCTAAAATCATATATCAAGACACAAATGGGGAAAACAGACACAGATAGGGTGGCAACAACTTTAAAATGGCCATACAAACCACAGCCAGTGAGTTATCCAGCCATTGAACCAAGTCTAATAGACCTTACAGTGATGAGCTTTAACCTGGCACCTGCTGTGTCAGCAGGTTTTAGACAGTCAGCAGAGGTTTGCATGTACACAAGTAATCTATCAGTGGTAGGAATGTTCTTGCATGAAAATAAGATGTTTATTGCTAAAGTAAAATCCCAGTTTCACTCTAAATCAGACTGACCAGACTGTCAACATGAGCTTTAAATGAAAGGGAATCATCTTCAGCTTAAATGTTAAAAGCTGCTAATGCCTTAAGACTTTAGTTCCATTAGACTTACCTTTTATAAACAGAATAAGTTTCATTTTATTAGAATTTAGTGTCACCTTAAGCTCCCAGACTGTAGATAGTTAAATGCTTCTTGGTTTGAGATACGTTTTGCATTGACAGATGATGAGAAAAGACCCTTCCTGTGAAGGACTGAGTTGTTAGGCAAGAAGAGCCATAGGTTTAAGAAAAAAAAAAAGGGTTTAATTAACTCAAAAGGAAAAAAGATGTAGACAAGAAAGTTCTGGGTTCATAAAAGAGGTCAGCCAAACAGACACAGGTATTACTGACTAAACTAAATAGGCTGACTGACCAAACTAAACTGACCTATGAAACCAAACACAGAGGGCAACACACAGTACACCCATGTGCAATATTGCATAAATGTTATATGATTAAAAAGGGTTTTATCATTACTGAGATTCAAATCTTTTATTGTTTCAAAACTTCGTATGTCCACTTTTATTTTTTGATGATAGCCCTAATCGTCCTCGGCATGGAGGACACCAGTGTGGCACAGATTTTTGGAGATGTTCCGCTGTTTCAGCTGCTCTTTGCTGGAGGTGTTGTGTTTTATTGGATTCAAGTCAGGTGATGTACTTGGCCAGGTCATAGTTTTCACTTTTTTTCTTCTTCTTCAGCAGCTCTTGCCTGATTTTGGCAGTGTGCTTTGGCTCACTGTCATGCTACAATATTCCTCTTCTGGAGACTGGGAGTCATTTTGTCAGCCAGTATTTTGCTATATCTACAGGCTTTTCTTTGCAAAAATCCAAGTGTTGAATGAATGACTGATGGTGACAGATGGATATCGGTAAATTCCATTTGAATAGACTGGGCCAGAATTCTATGGGAAGGAGAAAATGATTGTGAATAGATGGCCTTTAACCACAGAGTCAGGGAGGCTAACAGCTTTGTCTGCTGGGAGTTGAAGTCGTTGAGGTCTGTGTCCCACAGCAAGCTGCTTCCCTTGAGAGTGCTGCGTGTTGCCCCGGGTAACGGTCTGGCATTGCTCCAGTGAAATGGGAAAACACATCCCAACAGCACCTAAAACCAAATGAATCAAGACAAGAGCCATGTCTGGACCCTGGGTAGGTGGTCACCTCTACCCCTGGGCCTGACATGGTTCTTATGCTACTGAAAAGTATGTTAGTATATTTTTGTGAATGTGTTATGGAATAGGATCATGGTGACTAACTTTATTCAGATACCCACATTAATTCAATCCACAGCTGTCCCAATGTTACTTTCAGTTAACCTCAGCCCAAATCATCATGTTCTTTTTAACTCATCTTTGCCTACTTCCTCCTCAGAGCCATGACATGTGGTCAATCTGTGGTGGAGCATTCAGACATCTGGCTGCTGTCTCCTGTGTTGGCCCCGGAGAAGGTCGTGTGCGTGGGTATAAACTACCGCGATCACTGTTTGGAGCAGAACGTCCCGATCCCCAATGAACCGGTCATCTTCAACAAGTTCCCCAGCGCCATCACAGGGCCGTACGACGACATTACTCTGCCCTCAGAGAGTCAAGTGAGAGCAAGCTAGCAAACATTGCCTCTTAGATAAATGCAGAAGTTATACTGTGCTTTACAGGAAGGAAAAGCGAAAGAGTGAGATAAAATAAACAGTGAATACAATATATACTTAAAAACAAGGAGAAATGTGCTTATATTGTAGTGTATATAAATAATTGTGCTTAATAGTGTCTGAGCAAATGAAAAGACTGTTTTGTTATAGTTGTAGAAAATTTTGAGAAACTTGGCCCAAGAAAATAAAATACCTAATAGAAGATTTTAGTGCTATAAACAAGGGGGATTTATTGTTGTTTTTTTCTCTATAATAATAATAATCATAATAAAAAAATTAATAATAATAGTAAGGTCTAGACTATACTTTCTAAAGTGTGCTGAGACAACTTTTGTTGTGATTTGGTGCTATACAAATAAAACTGAATTGAGTTTTATTAAATTGCAAACCTTATACAAAAGAGGAGTCCTTGTAGCGTTTTGTCTTGAAATAAGAGTAAAGGCAAGTTTAGTCAAGATTATCCCTGAAGTTATGTGCACCAAAATAAAACCCTTTTTATGGCCAGGATATAATGTGCACACACTTTTTATAGTACACTGTTTTGTAGTTAATGGACTCAGAATCAACCTATCCTACTGTTTAACAGGAGATGATACAATATACATGGTGCTGGATGTCAGTTAAACAGCAACAATACATTTAACATCATCCCCCCCTTAAGAACATTATGATGACGTCTCCATTTCCTTTGTGTATTACAGTGTGGGGCAATAATGTCTCACAAATTAAGCATTTTGAAAAATACAGTTGTATTTATCATTTTGTGAACTCAGCACACACACACTAAAGCCTGTGGAGAATTAGTGTGGTTGGAATTGGGACACAGCTCTGGTGCTTTTTGATGCTGCATTTCCTTTGTATTCATCTGTTGTGTGGGTGAAGGAGGTGGACTGGGAGGTGGAGCTGGCCTTTGTGATTGGACGAAGAGGAAAACATATCAAGGTGAGCATCACATCTCCTTTGGTCACTCTGACACTGAGGATGCATCTGTTCAGACTATTTTTACTTGTTTAGGAGGAAGACGCCCTTTCCTACGTGGCCGGATTCACTGTGGCCAATGACTTCAGTGCGCGTGACTGGCAGATGAAGCGCAATGGGAATCAGTGGCTGCTGGGAAAAACGTTTGACAGCTTCTGTCCTCTTGGCCCTGCCTTAGTAACTACCGATGCTGTGCAAGGTGAGAGGGAATGAGAAAACGGCGAGGAGGGTGAGACAGAAAGGGGGAATTAAAGACGGTCTGGTGAATCGTGTAATTATCTGTGATTTGTACGTCTGCAGCATCACTGAGTTAACAAGCTGAAATCCTGTGAAAAGTGTGGTTTCTTTAACTGACTTGGTCAACTTGGCTGCTACTTTTAAGTTGTTAATGCGGATTTACCAGTCTGCTTGTTGGCACATATATTTATCATTTTCTTCTTTGTAATAATAATCTTCTTATTATTTGCACTACTGTCACTGTTTTTACATGGCTTTCAGTTTCATCATAGTCTATTAAGTTGTACCATTTAGTTTATCCTATTACTTGAATTCAGTTTTCATATTCTGTTTATTCTACTTTTTATTCTATTTTAGTTTGCATGTTCAACATTAGGTGAGAGAAATAGTACCGGTATTTTGATTTTTCTGTATGTCCTGCACATATAGGGAATTGACTATAAAAAATCTTTGATCTTGTTTGGATTGTATTAGCAGTACTAAGTCTAAGTCGCAAGCAAAAAGAATATCAGCTGTCCTGCTTTTTGTATCTTTCTCCCTCCAGATCCTCACAACTTGGGCATTCGTTGCTTGGTTAATGGAGAGACAGTTCAGAGCAGCAACACTGATCAGATGATCTTCAAGACGGCAACGCTGGTCGCCTGGGTCTCAAAGTAGGTCTACACACTGCTCACGATGATGCCATCTGTACATGAGACTTTGTGTGTTTTAAGTACTGATTTATATAATACAAACTTTTTTCCTGCTTCAGTAACTTGAGCTGAGAGTGCAGCATTTCCATTTAAGAAATTATGCAAATCATGTCAGAAAGTAATGTACAAAAGCAGCACTGTGTGAGCAAATGGCCTCCATTCGTATCCGACTCCAAGCTGACATTACATGCTTCAGCTAAGACCTATTCACCATGGCTGGCACACTTTTTGCCCTAAAGCTCCAGGACCAACTGGAGCGTTCTCTCATCTGATTTGAGAAAGGCCTCTCTTGCCCTCGTTTGACTTATCAGTGACAATGCCTGTGTTGCTCTGTAATAATGGCAGCCTATGGCACCTTTCACAGGATCTGTATACATCAGTCAGCCACAATATTAGTCACCTGCTTAATATTGTGTGCAGCCAAAACAGCTGACCCATCAATGCATGAATAGTAAATGGACTTTTATATGCAGTTTGCATACTTAAGAGTGCTTTTACACTATTTTGCCCATTGAACCATTCACACACACACACACACACACTGATGGGTCAGTCACCGGGAGCAACTTGGGGTTCAGTGTCTTGTGCAAGGGCACTTTGTGACAAGTGGACTGGAGAAGCCAGGAATCGAGCCGCCAACCCTCCGGTTAGATGACGCGCTCTACCTGCCAAACCATGAACTCCACTAGACCTCTAAAGGTGTCCTCTGGTATCTGACTCAAAGACATTAGGAGCAAAACTTTCAAGTACTGTAGGTTGCAAAGTGAGGTCTCCATGGATCAGACATGTTTTTCCAGTGCATCCCACAGATGCTTGATTGGCTTGAGATCTGGGGAATGTAGAGGCCAAGGCAACACTTTGAACCCTTGGTCATGTTACTCATACTGTTCCTGAACAGTTTTTGCACTGTGAACGAGGCCACCGCCATTAGGGAATACCATTGCCATGAATGGGTGTACTTGGTCTGCATCATCTAGGTAGGTGGTACGTGTCAAAGTAACATCCTCATGAATGGCGGGGCCCAAGGTTTCCCAGCAGAACATTGCCCAGGGCATCACACTGTCTCCACCAGCCTGCATCCTGGTGACTTCTCTTCCTCAGGTAAATGACGCACACGTAGCCGGCTGTCCATGGGATGTAAAAGGAAACATGATTTATGAGACCAGGCCACCTTCTTTCATTGCTCCATAGTCCAGTTTTGATTCTCACATGCACACTGTAGGCACTTTAGTCAGTGGACAGGGGTCAGCATGGGGACTGCGCCCACACAGTGAGCTGCGATGCACTTTGTGCTTTGACACCCGTCTGTCATAGCCAGCAGTATGTTTTTCAGCAATTTGTGGATTAACACTATAAGGTGCATATTCTGCTGCCAGAAGAGAGGCATGGTCATTTAGATGCTCCTCACCTGCACAAAAAAATCAGACCGCAATTACAAATGGCCGAAATGGATTTTCTGCGTAGGGTGTCTCCACTCAGCAATGTGCTCTTTGCTGCTGCTCATGTTTTCATTCCGTTGTCTTTCTCCTCTGTCAGGTTTGTGACTTTAACTCCAGGAGACGTGTTCTTGACTGGCACTCCTCCAGGTGTGGGTGTGTTCAGAACGCCACCCGTCTTCCTCAAGGTGACTTCATGCACAAAGCCGATTTAAAAAATCACAACTTCCTTCACTTTTAATTTATTCAAAAGAACCTTATAGTTGTACATCACATGGTACACAGTTAGTGTTTACTCCCTAACACACTATTTTAGTACAATTCAAAAAGGAGTAAAGCTGTGTTTTAATGAAGTGTTTAACTGTTTTTATTTCAGAAAGGCGATGTGGTGGAGTGCCAGATAGACCAGTTAGGCTCTATAATCAACAGAGTGGTATAAACCTGGAGACAAACGGCTGAAAACACCAACAATCCATTAAGGAATATCAGCTCTTAAATTAACTGCACTGCTCATCTGTTGCTTCACACTTTCTATTTCCAAAAAGCTAATAGAATGGGAGAATACCAGCGGGAAGTGGGGGAAAAAAAGATGTACAACTGTTTTATTCACGTTACTACAGTAATTGTGAGGAAGAAAAATGTGGTATTTCTACAAAATGAAACCATATAATTACATGACTCAACATGGCGTTTGCTGCTTGTCGTTGGTTATTCAGTCACAGTCATCACCAGCTGTAAAAATACCCTCTTATCAGCAGCCACCCCCCACTCATGCTATAGAGCGCAAACTGAACCCCCTGGTTTTTTAATATGTAAAACAAAGTATTTTTAAATATATTATTCAGAATGATTCTTTTTAAAACTTTCTCATAAAAAAGCAGATTGGTGAAGGGGAGAATTTAATTAAATTAAAAATATGCTGTATTCACAATTTGTCATTGCATTGCCTGGGAGAAAAATTGTAATTATTTTGATCTGGGCTTGTAGTACTGTACCTGCTTCCTCTGAAGGGAAAAAAGAAAATCAGTGAAGTGGATATTTTTCATTGAAAAAGAAAGCCACGGAGAAATTGCAGGGTTAAATGGACTCTGTTTGTAGCAGTGTGTTGTAGCTGGTAATTATGTTTGGCCAGTGAGCCACATATGTGTGGCTCAGAGTGTGATTAGATTCAAAATTTGGCATCATATTACATTCACTTGGTAAATTATTCTGTACAAATCAGCTTGCACTTTTCCATAAACCAGATTGGGAGTAATTTTGGGTTCAATATCTTGCTCAGTGTTCTGGCATATTAAATGCACTTAAACACACCAGTTCATCAGGTACAGCTAAATAAAACTAATCAAGTCTAACACGATCTTTCAGATTTTATCTTTGTGACTCAGTTCAGTTTGTTGAACCTGTTTTAAAGAAGTGTTGATCCAACTGTATGGCCATTTTGAAAGCTGTACTGTAGTTTGTGCTGCATTACATAGAGCTGTTTGTTATTTAGCACAGCCTCACTGCTGAGCAGCTGACAAAATATTAGAAGCATGTCACAGTATAATATAATGAGGTACAGCAGCACCACAAAGACTGAACACACTTCACGAGGGCAGGATTTATTGTAGACGCCTGTATTAAATCGCATTAGTTGCAGCTAGGTGTATCTAATAAACTGAAAACGGGGAATTTATGAGTGCAATACTGCAAGTTGTAAGACGCACAACTTTAGTAAACTGCATTTAGTATCCAAGAAAGCAACATTCAATAGTACTTTCAGTTCAACATTAGGTGGCAGTAAAGGTTCACAGTCATTTAGACCGGATCACTTGCAGGTCTGGTTCTTCTTGGTATAGGAGGGAAAACAGATGCCGAGTCTTGGCTGTACAGTCAGCGGTAAACTCTAAAACATAATGCCTGCCAGAAAAAGCCCTTTGTCTTGTTCAAAGCGAGGCATCGATTTTGTCTATGGGTCTCACTATCAAAAGATCTACGTCAAACAGGCTCTCGTCAGGTCTGAGTCATCACAGGATGACATACACAGGTAGAGCAACTCAATGATTTGGAGGAAATTATATTTGTAGGAAATTCTACTGTAAAAGATTTGTTTTTTTACACGAATCATACTCTGTGCATGTGATGAAATACGAACATTTATTGTCAATATGAACATTTACTTAGAAAAAAGTTGAACTAAAACATTTTAACATGCAGTAAATTAAACTTCCACAGCCTTCATTACAACAGACATGGCTGAAACATGAACAGCAGCATCTTCCAGTGAGTCCTCACAACTGATTAGAGACTTCATAATCCTCATCTCCTGCAGCTTTATGCTAATGCTATTACCAAAGACAAACTTAAATTTCTCATCACTGAAAAATCAAGACATAATTAACCTAAATGCACCAACGTCCCGACTCAGCATGCATCTTTTTGTACACAATTTCTCTGAAACGAAGAGGATGAGGTCACATTTGACAACAACAAAAAAGAACTATGTCAAGGCACTGAGTCATGCTGCTCCGTTAAACACATTAATTGTAGATGTACTGCGAGATGAAGCAGTGGAGTTTCTGCCTGTTTTCTGACAACTGGAACAAAAGACTGACTCCCAGGAAGACGCCTTCCTTCTGGTGCTGCTCTGAAAGGACCTACATTGAAAATAAACAGCACTGTCAGGACACCCGCAGCTACGACAATTTTAATCCAGTAACTTTTATTTGGATGCTGTGAGGGCTTGGTTTGCCTTATCTTTAGCGCTGTGCTTTGTGCACAAGGCAAAATAAGTAATGAGATTAAAAAAAAAACACCCTTCAAAACATGAACACAAGAAAAACAAAGGATGTTACATAAATAACACAACCACCTTATTAAGGCACCAAGGTCTGAAATAATGAGGCGAAATGGAAGAACCAAACTTCAGACTGTTCTGTCCTTTCTTTTGTTTCGTTGTTGTATAATCATTAGAAGATATTCATAATTAGAGCATATTCCCCTTTAATTTAAACAGATCTTTAAAACCAAGCCATCTTGACATTAAGGAGTGGAATTAGCTGTCAAATCCTAAAGACAAGCAAGACAGTGACCATGTCTGACTGATAACCTGGAAAAGAAAGTTAATAATTGCCTCTTGAGATCTTTGCAGATATATAGGTCAATGATGCTCTATTTTTAAAAGGCAGCGATTCCCAACCGACAGACTGATAGGCGCAGATACCGTCTACTTTACTAAGCTGAAAGGCTGAGTGGTGATCTGCCAGACCAGAAACACTGATTTAAATATTGATGCATAAAGTCTGCATGAAAGTTATGAGTGGGCTGCTTTCTTCTCATTTTTCTGACCGCAAACAGGTGTTTTTCTGTCCAGCTCTTCTCAGCTTTTAAGTTTGGTTAGGTTGCCCTTTTCCTTCTCATTATTCCTTGCTGTTGTTTGCAGAGTCACTGCAGATAAGAAGAGCTTATATTCCTATCTGCAAGACAAAACAACTTTCACAGACTTGAAAGTTGCCATAGCTTGATAAGCCATCACAAGAAATATAAAGCCTTTATCTGGTCTCATCGAAGTTTCTGTTTAAGCCCCAGTTCACTGTGCCAAATAGTGTTTTCATATCAGTTCACCTCATAACAGGAAGAAAAATGAGGCATAATCAAAAATAAGTTAACTCTACCAATATACCAAGTACCATTTCTTTCAGTACAATTACTCATACTTCAGTGTCAAAATACTAAAAACTGTGAAGTAAAAAGTAGAATATTTGCCTCAGAAATTTTGTGCACTTGGGAGTGTCAAGTACATGCACATCAAAATTATACACAACCACTGATCCCAGCTGAGCCACAGTTAAGAGACTTTAACCTGCCTGGACTACCAATTTTAAATCACTGGTGACCCAGGTAATTCTCTTTGTAGACGACATTCCTGCCTTAAACATAACTGAGTATGGCTGGTTAAAGTTTCTTTCTTGTTGCATCAAAATCTGGTTGGCTTTCTGTTGGAACTGAAAAACGCTGCCAATGATTGTTGATTGTTAGTAATTTGGGTTGTCTTCAGGCTCATCTGGGAACAGATGAGAATGTTAGAACTGAGGTTTTTGGGAGTTGGGTTGTGCCTAAACTTTCTGAATCAGGCTTTAATCCTCTGCAGATAGATTTAGAGACATACACACACCCACACAGAGGTTGTCACTCACCCCCAGGTCTATTAGTGTTCTAACTGCAGTGTGTACAGCCTCCTCTGAGCAGCTCTCTGTGAGATATGGCACATAGGCACGCATGAATCATAAGAAAAGACAGATATCCAATATAGAAAAACCAGGTCGGGATAACAGAAAAAACCGTTGCCAGTGGGAGCGATGGAATTTTTCTACTGCATATTAAACAAGGATGTCATCTGGGTGGGTTCTTATTGTCATGTTTTTAAGAAGAGAAGAATAAGAGCATGTGATGTGAGTTGGGGGAACGCTCCATATTTGTTCTCGAATCTGTGCCGACTTGTTACGACACATAATGAATCAGTGGGAAAAGTCAAACTTTTAAAGTTGACACAAATAAATAGAAGATCTTTGTTTGTGTGCAGGTGGCAGTGTGTTAGGGTGAGCTCACCATAGTGCTGTTTCTTCTTTCTTGCTGTGTCACACAGATGGGCATGCATCTGAGTTACAAAGTCTACATCTGCAGCAGGAAAACATGAAACTGAAAGCAGTAGTTCCACGAAAGGTTATTATGAGGAGTCTTCATGGTTCATTAAAATGTCATTCTTTATATTTATCATTGGTAGGTGGTTTAGCAGGTCACTGCAAATGAATTCGGGTGAAACAAATATAGGAGACGAAGAACAGGATTCATTTTGCTTTAATGTGGCATGAATGCATGTGCTATTCTAGCACTTTGCTTTAAAAAAAAAAGCATACTTTTTTAAACTATCAAATAAAATGTTAATTTCCAAGCAACCTTTCAAATAAAAACCTTGCCAAGTTTCCACAAAAAACAAGCTTTAACCAATTAAATGAGTTAACACCAGTAAAAGATGAACACTATCCCTTAAACATACCTGGCAGCGGTGTGTTTATGAGGTCCAGGCCCTTGACAGTCCAGCACAGAGTCCTCAGGTGTCCAGCTAGCATACTGCAGAAGAAAAACAGCATCTCTGGACACTGTCTTGGCTGGGCTT